GCCACGCACACTCCAGTTAGCAGGCATTTCCCACGTGGTGAGGCCACGCACACTCCAGTTAGCAGGCATTTCCCACGTGGTGAGGCCACGCACACTCCAGTTAGCAGGCATTTCCCACGTGGTGAGGCCACGCACACTCCAGTTAGCAGACATTTCCCACGTGGTGAGGCCACGCACACTCCAGTTAGCAGGCATTTCTCCTGTGGTGAGGCCACACACACTCCAGATAGCAGGCATTTCCCCTTGTGGTGAGGCCACGCACACTCCACTTAGCAGGCAATTCCCCTTGTGGTGAGGCCCGTCTCCATGTTCTCTGAGCTGGGGCACGGAGTCTGCCATCCTATTGATCAGGTCACCTCTGGGTCTTTGATGCCTGGCCTTGTAGGGCCGCTCTTGGCAGAGAAGCAGGACAGTTGAGGTGGAAGTATGAACTGTCCCCATAGCGGCAGGGGACCTGGGAACTCTGAGCTGATAGAGGGCCACATGGGAAGGGACTTAGTGTTCTGACAACCTTACAGGACAGAGGATAGATACAATCATTTTCTGTATTTTATATGAAAGGAAAATGAAGCCTCAGAAACATAGAGACCTGTCCAGGATGGTACAATTGTTGGGGCCGTGCCAGGAGGAGTCTGGGCAGACTGGAGTTTCACCTCTTCATGTCCAGCCTGCTGCTGCCCAGTTCAGTTGCCCGTCCTGGGATCTTGTCTGGCTTCCTAGTCATTGATCACTATTTCCTTCCAGAAACTTTTCACCTTTGGTTGAAGTTTAGCCTTGTAAGGCCACAGTCTCCTGTCTGATTCCTTGTGTTTCCTTTGTCTTTGGACATTAGAGATTGTTGGTGCCCTGAGACCTGTATGCCCTGCTTAGACTCTGGCCTCTTTCCCTGCCTGGTCATGTCTTAGTCATTGTTCTTCTGCCTTTCCCAGTGTCAGGGAATAGCCAGGGTGTCCAAGGCCTTAACCACTGGTCCCAAGGTAAGGTAATTATGTAGCTGGTAAGTAAACAAGCCACCTGTCTTTCTGTAGGAGCTTCAGTGCGATGTTTCTGTGGAGGAGGACAGCCGACAGGAATGGACTTTCACTCTGTATGACTTTGACAACAATGGCAAAGTCACCCGTGAGGTAAGTGTGCTTGCTGCCACTTGGCAGCCCTCAGGCATAGGAGCCGGACTCAGCCTGAGTCTGCTGCCCCCTCCTCCTGCCTGGTGGGGGCAGGGCTAGGGAAGGCTGCTGGGAGTATCCTGAAGGATGTGCTGGCATCTGTCAGTGAGGAGAGGGGCCAGAACGAGTACACCTGAGCACCTCACAGTCCAGGGTTGGGGGTACCCCACTGGGGAGAGGTGGGAGACAGTGGCACAGTTCAAGGATTTCCCAGAGAGGAATCTCAGGTCCAACAATCTGTCCCTACTTCCTTCCTCTCGCAGTCCCCAAGCTCCAGCAGCTATCCTTGATTGCTTCAGTGAGCCTCCCAGGCCACACAGACAGGAGCAAGCAGTGGCTGTGACTGGTCTCAGTCCTCCCCCCCCCCATTCAGAGCCTCCTACAACTCCTCCCAAGTTCTTCTCACCTTCTCCTTGTCTCTATCTCTGCATCAGCTGTGTACCAGGCTAAGCACTCAGCAGGGGAGAAACAGTCTCAGTTCTCTGTGTGTTGCTCTGACAACCCGATGAAGCAGAAAACACCATTGGGACAGGAGGGAGCAGCTTCTTGGAGGGACATCCCAGTGCTAAGCTGGCTCAGCCATGCAGCACGCTGGCCTGGGAGTGTGCCTGCCTAGCTGATCTCTGGTTAAGAACTGAAGGAGATTGGCCCGTGGCCCCTGTGCACAGTAGTGGGTCTTAGGTCCTGCAAGCAACCCAGATTTCATTCCAGGGGCCAGGAAAGCCAAGGTGGGCTCAGACTCAGCATCCTTCCCTCTTCCTTCCAGGCCTGCCTGCACTTTGAGGAGGGGCCTCTTAGAGATGGTACTTGGCACCTGTGTGGAGGTGTAAGACCAGGTGGGTGGGCTTTGTCCTCTCCAGTGGCCCAGTATGTGGGCCTGCAGTGTCTCCAGAGTCATGAAAGCTTGGCTTCCATATCTCCTTATCCCAGTCAGGTTGGGACAAGTATTAGCTTCTCCACAGCATCTACAGGAAGTCACCTTTAAGCTTTCTGAGGGGTATGTGGCTTACAAAGCCTGCCTGAGAACCAGGCGGGAGGGAGACTAACTAACTATGGCATGTTAACTATGCAGGACCCTGGCCTGTGAGCGATGGGATCCTAGTTTGTCCTGTTGCAGCTAACAACAACAGGAATGCATTGACGCCTTGACCTGTAATTCAGTTCTGGGGCCTTACTTTAAGTATGTGTACTTCAGGTCTTACTCATGGCTGTTCTTGTCTTACTGTGCACTCTCTCCATGGCACTGAATGCTCCCAGTTCTAGCCTGGATCTCTCCCTCTCAGGAATTTCTCCCATTCAAAATTTCCATACCCAGCCCAGAGTCAAATCTCACTGGCTTCTCATCCAGCCTAGATGACTAGGACACGTGGGGCCATCTGTGACGTCTTTGACATGCATGTCACAATGGAGGTGGCCCGCTCTTGGTGACTGCCGTCTTCCTGTCTCCCTGTTGTATACATGTGAGGCACCTCCTGTGCATAGACCCTCCTGCAAAGGCCTTGCAAGAAGGAACAGGGACAGATGCTCCTTTCTCTTTTCTAACTCATGTCCTTGGTGATGAGAGGAAGAAGCCACAAGGAAGGCAGGTGGCCCAGCATAGCCTGAAGCAAGCCTCTGGGCTGTGTTTTCTGAGGAGCTAGGATGCTGACTTTGTGTCAAAAACCCTGCCTGGTGCCTTTCCCGTCTCTAGCCACAAAGCCCCCCTTTAAACCTGCGTACAAAGCTCTTCCAGTCTTCTTCCTAGAGCGAGCACATGGATTTTGGTGTGTCCCGGAAAACAGGCTCCTGCCTCACTGCATCTGCTGCCTGGAGCCTGTGTGTGAGCTGAACATGGGAACCTTTGGGCTCTCAATCATACAGGGAGCAGTTAGGTCCCCTGATCTGCCACTGTACCAAATACTGCGTTTTAAAAGGCAACAGGCTTACTCCAGTGCACAATAGTTGGTTCTGTTGTTTTGGACCTGTGGCAAGGCAGAATATTCTGGCATGTGTGCATGGAAAAACAAAACTGCTCACTTCAGGGCCTGAAAGGAAGAGGAGAGAGAGAGAGAGAAGAAAGAACCAGGTCCCCTTTAGGAGCGTGTCTTCAATGGCCTAAAGCCTCGCCACAGGTCTTATCCCCTAAAAATTCCGCCAGCTCCCCATATGCCCCCCTGAGACCACACATTTACTATATTGTCTTTATATAGTATAGTAGCGGCCTATTCCTATGTTCCATACCCTGGCTTTTAAGGTGGTGGCAAAGCAGCTTCTTCAGCTCGGTGCTGAAGGCACCAAACAGGACCCCAGGACTTCTGAGGCAGTGGCCTTGGCTTCCTTGCTTGTCACCTCCATCATGGCTTTGGAAGATGGTGTAGCTCTAGAACATGTAGCATAGCTGTGCAGGGAGCCATGGGAAGGACAGGAAGAGGGGTTCGGTGTGACCTCACTAGAGGAGCTGAGACAGCTCAGCATGCCAGGAGGGAGCAGCTGGAATCTGAGTCTCATACTGCCGTCCCCCTCCCCCACAGTCTGTCCTGCACATATTCTGGTCTGGTCTTTCCAAAGCTTTTGTTAAGAATTAAGTTAGTTGTCAATGTTGACGATTTGGGATATTTCTCAGAAGATTCTGGATTTCTGGCTTCTCTGAGTCGGCTCAGAGTCAGCCTAGTGGCATGTCCACCATGTTTCACAGGGATGCCTGTGCCATGATAGACCGTTCGTGCCTGGCTACAGCATCGCTAGGGTCATTCGTCTCTGCCTCAGCCTAAGGGAAGAGAGAGGAGAAGGCCAAGTGTCTCCGAAGTCATGAAGAACTGCAGGGTAGTAGCTGAGTGTGTCTGGTGGATAGTGTTTTTAAAGCAAGTGGCTGTACCCCAGACAGCTGATCACAGATACCCAGAGCACAGAAGTCCCAGTGAGGGGTACTCTTCCCGACTCCAGTCAGAGTCTCTGAGATCCTCCTCATAGAACACTGCTGGAATCTCCATTCAGGCCAGAAATATTTGGTCAGTTTGTCTCCAGGGACACTTACCACGTGCTTCAGCAACAGAAACTGATCTTCCTCCATCCTGGAGGCTGGAGTTTAGGGCTGAGGCAGCAGGCCCCATGGTTCTGGTGAACACTCCCTTCCTAGTCTGTGGACAGCTGCCTTCTTATGGGCAGAGAACAGGTGAGCTGCAAGAGCCGCAGAACAGCAGCCTCTGCTCCCACATACCGCTCTTCCATCACCTCCATCGCTCCCTGATCCAGCTACAGCGTCCATGGGGATGACTTCGGCAGAGGAATGGTGGGGCCATAATCCAGTTCAGTGTATGGGCAGAATCACATTTCTGGTTTTCCGTCTAAGATCAGGGGTGTGTAGCATCACTAGGTGCCTGTCACCTAGGAGAGTTGAGATCTGGTTTTTAAACTCTTCTCCTCCCGGGTGAGGCTTCTCTGGGAGGTTCCACATCCTGCTGAGGTCCCCAGCGGCTCAGTCCCTCCGAGCTCTGAACTCCCTTCCATTTGTTCTCTTACTCCTTATTCTCTCCCTGAATCCACCATTCTGCCTCCAGCTCTGTGTGAAGGAGCCAGGGGCCTTCAGCATAGTGGCGGCCCCCAACTCTCAGGTTGCTGGTGACTGTGCATTGCGGCTGAAGTACACGGTGTGTCTGCTTCTTCTCAAACAGGACATCACCAGCTTGCTGCACACCATCTATGAGGTGGTTGACTCCTCTGTGAACCATTCCCCCACATCAAGCAAGACCCTGCGGGTGAAGCTCACTGTGGCCCCCGATGGGAGCCAGAGCAAGAGGAGTGTCCTTTTCAACCAGACTGGTGAGAGTTGACAGAGTGGGTACCCACTTTGGGAAAGACAGGAAGGACCCATGTCAGCCTGGAAGGGTGGCAGGAGTCCCAGCTTCCCTGGACAGTTGCTTAGTGTACTTAAGACTTCGGTGGGCCCTTGAAGGAGAAGGCCCCTGGACTGGGGGTGGGAGGGTTGCAGATGGAAGGACCTGTGTAAGCAAAGGCGTAGAGATGAGACTGTAGCAAGAAACTACAGGGACATGTTGTGCAGAAGATGGCAGTCCAGGCCTTGGAGGGCAGCTTATGAATCTGGAGAGGTCAGTGGGACAGACAGCTAGCATGATCTTCACTGGGCAAGCCCACCCAAAGTTCACCACAAAGCTATGGTGAAGCATGATGGGTATTCGTTGTTGTTGTTGTTGTTTTGTTTGTTTGTTTGTTTGAGGGCATAGTGCCATGCAATCCCAGGTAGAGTAGGAGTAGGTACTGACTAGTATTTCTTGGGCTTCTGGGATTCAGACCTGCAGAGCACGAGGCCCCGAGCAGACACCAAGCCTGCTGAGGAACTTCGTGGCTGGGAGAAGAAGCAGCGAGCCCCTCTCAGGTATGACTTGCACAGGCAGAGGCAGCAGCCTCAGGCCCATGAACATATATTGAGCACCATCTGGATACATACATCTGAAGGACTTTGAGTTAGCAGGCTCTATTTTGGGTCCTTTGCAGGGGTCCTGGATCTATTTCAGAAGCACAGATTTAGAGTCATATTTAGACTCTAAAATTAAAAACAAAACAGCTGCAGATTTATAAGCCCTTACCTACAGTTCTGAAAGAAGCCTGAAAATGAAGGCTTTCCTAGCCCACTGAAGAGCCAGGCCATCCAAGGGATGGGAGGTTTGGGGGTTTGTCTCACTGTTGTGAAGGAATGTGCACATAGTACCTGGTAGAAACATCAGTTGGGCTAGGTCCCGAGGTGCTGTCCCAACCCCATCTAGAGTACATAACATGTCAGGAACAGTCAATATATGCTAATCCAAATTCCAAGGAGAAAATCTGAAGGATTTTTATATGGAATACAGTGAAGGACTATAGCTAGGGGTTCTGCAGCTGTCTGTCCCTTTGTCACGTCTGCACGAACAGAGGGAAGGTGGGCTGTTCAGGCAAGTGTGGGGATCTTTCACATCTGGCGCCAAAGGATGTAGTTGAAGGACCGGTCCTCGATGTGAACTTGGAAAAGACAGAACATTCTAGGATGCTGTTGGGTGGGCAGTGGACTGAGTGGAAGGCTGGCTTGAGATGGGTGGGACTGGGGTACAGCTGGGACAGGTGGTGGGCATCAGGGAAATGAAGGCATAGTCCGAGGGGTTTCTGTCTTGAACCCCTTCTCCCAAGTCACAGAGCAGAATGAGCTATGTGTTTGACCTGTGGCTTCCCGGACCTGTGCCTTCCCAGTCAACATACTTTTTGTCACAGGTTCCAGGGTGACAGCCACCTGGAGCAGCCGGGCTGCTACCACCATTGTGTGGACGAGAACATTGAGAGGAGAAACCACTACCTAGACCTGGCGGGGATAGAGAACTACGCATCTCAGTTTGGGCCTGGTAAGGGACTGCTGGGCGGGCTGTCCACCGAAAACACTGGGTTGGGTGAGGACGGGGAGATGTGGAACTTTTTACTGGACATATCAGAGACTCTTCTCAGAGACAGTTGCATTAAAGATGTTTCCAAAATGAAAGTAGTACTTGGACAAAGTTGGGCATGAGAATGAGGGGGCTTCAAATCCAGCCAAAGCAGTGGTCCCACCCCCACTCTGGCCCCGCATCAGCCACAGCTCCGGTAGCCACTTGGTCCATGGCAGTGCCACACTGCTAGCCTCTGTGCCCCTGGACCTTGCTTCACCCCTGTTCCTTCTTTTGAGTGCTTTCTCCGTTCCCTATGCACATCCCTTTATACGCGTAGAATGCGTTTGTCCCATCCATCATCATCTGGCCCCACCTCTCAGCAGATGGGAAGGTTCCCTTTCCTGTGGAGCAGTGAAGGACAGTAGCGGGTTGATAGCTCAGACAGAGAGGTGGTGGCACCTGGGAACCCCGGGGCAGCCCAGTGCATACAGTGCGCACTCATGAAGTATCTGTTGGATTGGTTCCTAGGCTCCCCTTCGGTGGCCCAGAAGTCAGAGCTGCCCCCTCGAATCTCCAACCCCACTCGCTCTCGCTCCCACGAGCCAGAAGCTGCCCACATCCCACACCGGAGGCCCCAAGGTGTGGACCCCGGCTCCTTCCACCTCCTTGATGCTCCCTTTGCCAAGGCGTCAGAGCTCCAGCAGCGGCTCCGGGGTACTCAGGATGGGAGCAAGCACTTTGTGAGGTCCCCCAAGGCCCAGGGCAAGAACATGGGAATGGGCCACGTGGCCAGAGGTGCAAGAAGCAAGCCCCCACTGGTGTCCACCACCCACACTGTGTCCCCCTCTGCCCACTTGGCCACCAGCCCAGCCCTCCTACCTACCCTGGCACCCCTGGGGCACAAGAAGCACAAGCATCGACCCAAGGAGAACCAGGCCAGCTGCCGGGGCCTGCAGGCCCCACTGGCTGCAGGAGGCGCCACGGTCATGGGTCGGGAGCAGGTGAGGGAGCTACCTGCTGTGGTGGTGTATGAGAGCCAGGCTGGGCAGGCCGTCCAGAGACATGAGCACCACCACCATCACGAACATCACCACCACTACCACCACTTCTACCAGCCCTAAGTCCCAGCAGGCCGCCACATGAAGGACCCACCCCCACGCCTCGAGGCATTATTATTCTATTAATTATTGTTATTATGACAATTATTGTTATTAATAATTATTGTTACTCCACTAATATTTAGCTAGCCTTCATGTAGAAGATATATGGAAACACAGAACTAAACTTTTATTTATATGTTGTGGGGATTATATAGCTCACCCAAGAAGTGACTCTGGGTTTGGAAGGGTCCTTGGGCTCCCCCAGCTGCAGGGTCCACGCAGATCTTCCCAAACCACAGGAGCCCTCGGCCCAGCTGCCCCACTTCTGCTCTTCCGGGAGCGCACCCTTGCCTGGCCAAGCTTCAGAGACCCTCAAGAGCTCCGGAGGACAACAGCTGCTACCTCTCAGTGTTATTCCGGTCTGACTTCACCCTTAACCGACTGTCACGTGCTACAGGGGCTTTTGGTGGACTGTGTTGCAGTGCCCTCCCTGCCCTCATGTTTCCACACCTCAGCCTAGACCCTTAGCTGTGCTTTCTGGAGTTGCTGCCTCACCTTGGTCCACGCCAGCCCTATCTTTTTTTTTTTTTTCCTGCCATGCACAATGTGGAAGCGCCCCTCTCCTCCCATGCACCCCCCTTTGCTTTTGAAGGATGCACCTGTATTTAAGGATTGTCCTTGGAGCCAACCTTCTCCTTTTGGAAACTGCTACAGAGAGAAGCAGCCACATACAGAAGCGTGGTTTCCCAAGATGGCACCATTGTATGACGGAGGGTGTGAAACCTGAGTTTGCCATCAGCAAATACACTTTGTGGCTCTCTGGCAACCTTTGTATCTATAGGTAGATGCTGCCTGTCCGTGTCTCTGTGTCTTTCTATAAATACACTCTCAGGTATCTTTGCTGGTGTGCAGAAATCACTGCGCTGCTCTGTGGAAGCTCCTGCAACCCAGATGTGCCCCATGTGCTTCGTGTAAGGGTCGCCCATGCCTCAGACACAAGCAGCCGCTACCCTCTCATAAGAGGTCATTTCTTTGGGTTTGAAGTCTGCAGTTTTGGAGAAACCTGCTTGGGTGTAGAATCTTAGAGTAGAATGGGTATATCAGGTGAGACCGTGGGACAGCCTCCTTCACAGAGCAGGATTATATCAGACAAGAGCTAGAGAAACCAGGAAAGGAGCACTGTTAACACTGGGGCAAAAGCTGAGGGACAGTGGAGCCCAGAACGGCTCTAAGCTATCCCTGCACCTGAAAGGTGAGGGTTGAAAGGCACCTGGAAGCTGTGACCTTCGTTCAGGGAATGTAAGGGGCTGTGTGGAACCCCCAGGGGTGGAAGTCTTGACTCTCTCCTGCCTCTTCCACATCCTTCTGTAGTGGCATCTGGTGACAGTCTTGGGAGCAGGGAGGAGTCTGGGTATGGTCCCAGAGAGAGTCTGATCCCAGAAGGAAATGATTGCTGCTGTCTGCCCTGCCCCTTCTTCTCCTGAGTTTAGCATGGTTGGTAAGCACGTACTTTGCGGGTAGTCGGCATTAGTTGTTTTTATGGTGTTAATTTTCCTAGTTGCTGGTCTGCTTGGGACTGGTTGATCCCGTTCTCAAGTCATCACTCTGAGGAAACAGGAACTAGAAGTCCAGGGCCTGCATCTGAGGCTCAGAGAGGTCGAGAACCTGCGGAGTCACGTGGTAGGTGGCAGCGTGGAGTCCTAGTCGTCAGCATCCCTAACACCGTGAAGGGTATGTGAGCCCTGGCTTTTGTTCACAGGAAGTGACTGTAGCCAAACCAAATGGGCAAGGCATTGTGGGAGCTGACTTTGAGATGACAGGATCCAATATGAATGAACCAGGGTTTTTGTTCCTGAGTTACTCTGTGTCAGCAGGCCTGAGCTGCTGGCGTTCCGGGTCCAGGATCAGGAGAAAAGAACTTCCTAAGAAACAAACGCCTGATGAGGGATTGTGAAAGGCTGGGTTTGGATCAGGTAGTCACCCCTGGACCAGTCACCTTGCCCCAGGAGGCAGTGTCAGCACTGATAACAGCAGGGGCAGGGATGGGGAGAGACAGCCAAAAAACAAAACAAGGAAAAAAAAAAAAAACAAAACCAATGGACTCCAGGTCCAAAGTTGCCATGAGCAACTTTGCCTAGGGAGTGGGAGCTGCTGACTTTAGAACATGGATCCTCAGCCTGGGGAGTGGGGGGGGGGGCTTCCTACTAACTTAAAAGTCATCTTATAAAAATAGTACCGTGTTCACCTGTAAAAGCCCGTAGAAGCTTAGAGTAAAAGGGAACTCACCAGGCTCCATGCCAGCATCCATGTCCAGATGCCCTCCAGGACCATGGGTGCAGTGTGGTGCAGTGGTTGGGGCAGAGACTGGCCCGGCTGCAGGGACTCAAGGCCCGACTCCCTTTCCTCAGCACGCATTGAAAGTGAAATGCTGCTCCCTTGTGAGCACCATCCAGATGCTGGCTGCCTTCATCACTAGAGTAAATGCATTCCATAGAATATCTCCAATTTACATTTTGTTAATTTAAAAAAAAAATTCAGAGCTTGAAGCAGTTGTGTACGGTAACCTTGAACTCCCCACCCAGAAGTTTCAAATACTGACATTTTGCACTATTTCTCTCTGATCTATTTTTAAAGGAGAAAACCCGGCAGTGATGTTCGGTCCCCTCCCCACCTTGTTCTTTTATTTTTATCCAAGGAGCAGCACAGCCTTCACTCTTGGGCTCGTTTCTCCGCAGCCCAGTGCGCTTGGGGACCTGCCCCTGAGTCACTGAACTCTGTCCCCCTAACAGCTGCTCAGCCCTCTCTTGCTCAGAGGCACTGTCACCTCCCGGCAGGCCTGTGGGTTGTCTCTCATCCTTCGCTGTGACATACTGCACAGAGGGTCCTTGTATGTAACTTGTCTCGCTGTCTACTCTTGAGACAGGAAGTGGCTGAAGGCGTCAATGCAGAGCTGCTGGATTCGATAGCAAGTGTGGTTTCCGTTTTGAAGCTATTGTAGGTGACCCCTTAAAAGTGGTTATAGCAAATAATTAGAAGGAGCCGGAAGGACAAAGGAGAGAGGGAGGAAGGTAGAGAAGATGAAGTTGGATCCTTTGTGTAGATGTGACCCAGTTCCCGGGCACAGATGCTGCTTCTCTGGCCCCCAAGCTCTGAGCACCCGGCATCCCTGGAGCCTAGAGAAGTATCTGGGTTTTTGTTTGTTTGTCTTTGATTTTGGATTTAAGGCATCATGGCCTTGAAGCTTTGCGCACACGTGCACAGCACTAGCTGCTTGGTGGGAGGGTGGATAGCCACTTTGCTCTCACCTCCCTGTCTCGGGAGCACCACACACCCAGCCATGCCAATTGGGCGTTTTGGCAAAGGGCATAGCCAGGACCTGTTTGTCCTTCTCCTTTGCCCTGCATTCACATCTCAGATCTCTCAGGTTGCTGCTGGGCCTGAGGATTAAAAGTCAGAGAGGAGAAGAGAGGGGCTACCTGTCAAAAGTCATTCTAACGAGCAGCCCCCGGGACTCCTGACCTGGGCTATAGATGCCACCCAGCACCCTCAGCTCTGTGTGAAGGTGCGGGCTGCCAGCCACACCACTGGCACTAGGGTTGCAAACTCCAAATTCTCCAAAGCAACCTTGCCCTTTACCCAGGTTCACTCTAGTAACCAATTTCCTGGTGTTGGCCTTGGTTTCCTACCGTTCCCATTGTGGCAGGGTTGTGTCTGTAGAGTCAGTGGAGATGAATCAGCTACCTGCCTTACTGATACTAGACACAGGCAGAGGCCACCCTTCCCATCATCACATTCCTCCCACCCCCCACTCCAAATTTCCCCTTCATTTGGGGCTCTGATCTGCTCTGAGGCAGCAGAACCTTGAAGTCAACCCCTGTCTTTCCTGATATATTTTCCTTTGAAGGGATCCCAATGCCCAGTATCTGGTCCCAGGAAGTGACAGGGTTTAACTTAAACACCCTGCTTCCAGCTGACCCAGTGAGCTCTTTGCTCTCTCCCAGCCTTCCAAGCAGAAGAGGAAGCAGTCCTGCTACAGGGAGCCCATCAACCTGGCAGCTAAGAGTTAACTCAGTGAGGCCCAAGCCCCTCCTGATGTGACTTGAGAACAGGCTAGCCTGTCAGTGGATGGAAGCTGCATTCAGAATCACCTGGAGGAAGTTACAGAGGCCAATCTCTTGGTCCCATCTCTGATGATGCTGATTTTGGAGTCTGGGATGTAGCCTGGCCATTAAGAGCTCAGGATCCCAGATAGTATCCTATCCAGCCAAGGTGATACTCCAGAGCCTTGCAGCACCCCCTGGATAACTCCTGACGGTCTTTTGAGAGAAATATTTGAGTCCCAGGACTGAAGAAGCATGTTAAATAGAGACTCCCAGGCCCAATCCCCTGGATTAAGGGGGGAGATAGGTGAATTAGGGTTAAGGTACAGGGACAGTGGTTTTTAAGAAGCTCCCACCCCTAGAAGTGGTATATCTGGCCCACAGGCCATCCTGAGAATTCTGAGAGCCTGTGTTTTGGCCCTGCCTCAATGATTATGTGTATTGAGATCGGAGGGAGATAAGGAGACACACCCCCTCCTGTGCTGTAATCGGGACCCAAAAACTCCACAGAACTTAGAACACATGATCATAACTTAGGCAAAGGACCAGGCTAGAGGGCTCAGTACCTCTGTTTGTATGGGTAAAGCTTCTCTCCTAGCTGTGCTGCCATTGGCTCTGAAGAACCCACCTACACCATTGCCACAAAACCACAAACCTTCCAGAGAACTGGACTTACTGAGATCGCGTGTCCCCAGTGGAGTGGTCCACGTGACACTGACGAGGGCACAGACTTCACCCTCCACTTAAGAGGAGATCTGGCATTAATAAGATAGGCATACACGTTTTAAAATCCCTCTTTCTGATTCCTGCACTTGACCTCGGAGCCCTGGGCCAAGGTTGACTTGGCAGCGTAGAACTCAAAGTGGTCACCACTTTGTTTACAAGGTGCCAGGTCACTGTGAGAGCCAGCTTTGGCAGACCCCTCTTCCCAGGAAGAAAGGTGGATGGGGAAACCATTTTGGGGCTTAGTTCTGAGTGAGAAGCAGAGAAGGTCAAAGATCTTAGAGGTTCCCAGCGTTGACAGGGTTATTCCTCACCTCCACCAGAGTTTTGATGCCCTGTGTTACTAGCATTACTCTGCTCGATATTTCTGAAAGCAAAATTCTGGACGCATTCATCAAAGCAGACCACTAAATCTGTTCATCCTTTTTCAGCCAGGCTGTTCTTCCTGGAGCCGTAGCAAGTCCAGCAGAGGGCAGCAAGCAATGCGTGCCTCCAAACCTGGTTCTGAGTGTCTGTCTTGTCTGAATCTCCCAAGTGGGGTTCTTTGGGGCCCCGTGTGCCCGTAGGTGGTTAGTGAATAGGAGAGAGCATGTTGGTGAAAGAGATAAGGCACCTGCGGCAAGACAACAAACAGGAACGTGTAGGGTCTCATGTCAATCATAGCATCCTCCCTGTTGGTATCCTAGGGATAAAAGTGTGCATAGCAACAGCATTGCTATCTTTTGATTTTGTTTTAAAAACATACTTAAGATGTAGCTCAGTGCTAGAGCTCTTGCATAGCCTATGTTTGGCCTTGGGTTTGCTCTCTAGAACAACAACAACAAAAAGCCAATAAAACACACAGCAAAAGCAATAATTTAGTTTATTTAAAAAGAAACAAACCCCTACTGTGTTGTCTTTGTTTTTTGTTTTTTTTTCTGGTTGGTTGATTGGTTGGTTCCCACCTCCCCCAGAACCAGTGACAATTTAGTCAAATGTTCTTTGTGGTTTTGAACAATTGATTCTGATTGGGTGAGAAGGATCTTTCGACCATAGACACAGGAGAACAGAAAGACTTCAGTAGTTAAACTAAACTTG